ACTCAAAAGTTCGCACTAGTGTTGATGCATGTTAGCATGTAGGGTATAGTGTATGGTTGTTGGATTTTTCATGTTTTAACGATAGGCTAAGGAAGCCGCCATCTTGAAAACTTCCTTCGTGATCTCGCAGGGCCTTTTTTAAGGATTCAGTTGCCGTGGGGGTGTGGGCATTTTTTGATAAGGGACCTTTCTGTGAGATAATATATTAGAGGAGCATAGCAATAGCTGAAGGCCACGTGTGTGGCCAACATACCACGCATGGATTGGGGGGGGGGGGCTCTGGGTGTGTACTTCCCCAGAAATCAGGATGTACTTCCCAAGGAAATGCCATTTCCTGCATTCTGAGCATCCAAATTTGCTCTAAAATGTATGCTAACTATACTTGTATTTGAAATAAAAGAGGGAAAAATGCCCAAAAAGTAAAAAAGAATATTGACCGTAATTTATCATTACTTATTTGAGGGGGATACCAATGGCCGAAGGCCACGTGTGTGGGGGCATAATCCCCAGAAAATGTTTAAAATTTGAAACTCGGAAATGATATTTCTTGCATTCTGAGCATCCAAAAAATAAAAAAATTATGAACAATAATTTATCATTACCTAGTGCTAGAAAAACGTAACAATTTAAATCGATTTTGTTAATAAACAAGGACAAAGGATAAAGCCTAAAAGTTACTTTTCGTTTATCTAATTGTTATTCTTCGCTGGTTTGTTTGTATAATTTTAGGAAAAAAGGACTTTTCCTGGGGGGGGGGCACAAGGTGGGACTGGGGATATTTCCCCCAGTCTAGTGTGTTCATCAGAGTGATCTAAACTGTTGCAATCGTGGCTTCTTAAATACCCAAGGGATGACGTCACCTGCCAATGAGATGCATGTATTCCTCTGGCAAATAGGCACAGTCATCCCTATTCTAAGCATGGTTAGTCATATCTATATGCCACGCTTCTAGGCATACTCTTTGACCATAGAGATTGTTTGTACAACCTCGTACCCAGGTTCTCAATCTTCGATCCTACCTCCCTTGAATTGAGACCCTGGTATCGGCTGGTCACGTGACCCGTCATATTTTGGCGGATTTGCTCAATTGTTTTTAGGAAAAGTATAGTAAGTAGATATTGTAATAAACATTAATATTTTTAAAATAACATTACAAATCAAAACATCTCAGTTACTATCCTTTCCCTAATAACAATTGAGCAAATCCGCCAAAATATGACGGGTCACGTGACCAGCAGATACCAGGGTCTCAATTTAAGCGAGGTAGGATCGAAGATGGGTATGAGGTTGTTGTTTGTGGTAATTACTTTAGAGTTGTCCCACGCAATCTCGTGTTTGGTGTAACATACATGTTCTGCTAAAGCTGATTTCCCCTTGTCTGAAGTTGAAACAGACTTTTGATGTTCTAGCTTTTAGCCGTGTACCAAACTGGCGTTTAGCTGACCCAAATACTCTTTCTCGCAGTCACCGCATCGGGTATAGAATATGCAGCATGAGTTACCTGATTTGTTTTAACAGGATCTTTTGGCTTTGCGAAAATATGGCCTAAAGTCAATATGGCCTAAAGACACTAGACTGGAGTGTCGAAACGTTGGGTCTTGATTAAAGGGTTAATGTAACCAAACAAACTATCTACTAATAGATGTCTCCAAAAAGTTTGCTACTTTATTATTTTACTCTGTATAACACCAGACAATTTTACTTGTCAAGGGGAGAGCTTTATGCATTAATGAGGTAATCACTCTTAGTTAACCATGTCTTCATCTTGAAAACCAACAAAATATTCATTGCTGTCTTTGGGCTGGATTAAGTTGCTCCTTATTGCATGGTAGGCACATGCAGGAAGTGGAATCCTATGTTTTCCAACATGCTCATATACCAGGTGTATAAATTGACGGTATGCCACACTTCTCGTGAATCTAAAAAATAGAAATTCATTCATATGACCAAAGTTATGCCACACAATGACAAAGTAGAAAAAGACCGCTATAAAATACTTTATTGGGAATACTATAGAAAGGTTCATGATAGCTATCACAATGGATTTTAATTGATCATTGCCATACCAACTCCCAAGAGCATTGATTATAAGCAACATCTTATGCTACATGGTTGGTATTCTTGGGAGTTTTACCATGTTAACCAAGGTGAAAATTAACCCTACTTGTCTTAGTGGTCTATACATTATTAATATATTATATGGCTGAGGTAAACACCTTAACACCTCCACTTAACAAAAATACAGAATTATTGTCAAGATGACTTACGCCTCATCTGAACCAGTTTGTAGATAACGCTTTTTGTCAATGGTCCTGTACTTCCCAGCTGCTAACCTTAACGACCATCTATCAAGGCAGACAGTTTCAAATGCCGGATGTAATGGTATACATTCTGGAGCAGTTTGCAAATCTTCAAGCACCCATTAATCAGACAAGGACTCTACTCATTGCTCTATGTCTTGACAACATAAGCACTCATTGGGATTTTGTAATATAGGGTTGTTGAGCATTTACCACAAGAGCACCTAAAATGTGATAACAATGGGTCAGCGATTTATACATAATGATTTATAATATTGGCATTGAATTTAAAACGTTAAAAATACATGTTAGTTTTGTTTCGGACTTACCAGTTACTAAGGCTTTCTTTTCCAGCTAAACGATCTTTCAAACTTGCAAGCTTTTGTTCTTTTTCTGCTTGTCGTTGTCTGTACTCTTCAACCCATTCTTCATCCGCTATAGGCTCGCTTGAGTACGGTTCCACATCAGCAAAGCTCGTCTGTTCAGACTGTTCTACATCGCCATCGTCACTTTCTGAAGCTTGCATAATCTCCGTTTCAATGAGCGAATAATTACCCGGAATATAGTTATACTCCGAGTCATCGTCAGAGATAGAGCATTTGTCAGACCCGGAAGACGTTCTAGACATTATCAACGTAAAATTTCAATGAAATAATCCGAAAATAAGCTAGCTTGAAATAGCATTTCTGTTCGTATATTTATACAGTAGCAAACACAACACGACTAGCATGAGTCCCTCGTGCTACGTCACAGGTTACCAGTCCCGATGCGCTCGGCTATGCCTGCCCATTTGTAGCAATATTCAATATAAAATTATTCATTCAATTGAATCTATTATACATTTAATAAAGTTATATTCTTTCAGTTTAATCTTTTATACACATTCAATTCAATATAAAATATTCATTCAATTTAATCTATTATACATTTAATAAAGTTATATTCTTTCAGTTCAATCTTTTATACACATTCAATTCAATATAAAATATTCATTCAATTTAATCTATTATACATTTAATAAAGTTATATTCTTTCAGTTTAAAATCTTTTATACCCATTCAATTCAATATAATATGTTCATTCAATTTAATCATTTGTGTGTATATGTATTTAATTTAATCCTGTAACAATATGCATTCAATAAACATATTCATTCAATATTTGTGGTGTTACTCTGAGTGTATATCCACACCGGGCGAGCTTGAAAAATATGCCCGGCCACGGTGGGATTCGAACCTACGACCTTTGGAATACTAGCCCAATGCTCTTCCAACTGAGCTACGCGGTCAGGACGGTTCGAGTAAGTGATATTTCGGAACAGAATCTAGTTCCTTCGATACCAATGTATTCTAGTAATATGAATTTTTTCTGTGTTGGTGTAGTGTACTCAGGTGAATATGATATTTGTGGTGTTACTCTGAGTGTATATCCACACCGGGCGAGCTTGAAAAATATGCCTGGCCACGGTGGGATTCGAACCTACGACCTTTGGAATACTAGCCCAATGCTCTTCCAACTTAGCTACGCGGTCAGGACGGTTCGAGTAAGTGATATTTCGGAACAGAATCTAGTTCCTTCGATACCAATGTATTCTAGTAATATGTATAGGTTATTTTGAGGCAACGAGGGGATATGTGATTTATTTACCGAGGCGCGCAGCGCCGAGGTGAATAAACACATATCCCCAAGGTGCCTCAAAATAACGTACTTATTTTTCACACTGCGAGGTCGCGTTAATGAGACAGAATAGAAATAATTCCTAATGCCATATGGCCTTCGTTATGTTGTTTTTTTTCCTCATTTTTTGTGCTGCAAACAGTGCAAAGACATTGCAGGTGAATATTAGAGGGGAATATCAATTGAAGGTGAATATTAGAGGGGATTATTAAACGGAAATTGATTAGAGGGGAATATTGAATATATTCCCCGATAAGAACAAAGGAAACCGAGCAGGGTGAAAAATAAGAATTTTTTCTGTGTTGGTGTAGTGTACTCAGGTGAATATGATATTTGTGGTGTTACTCTGAGTGTATATCCACACCGGGCGAGCTTGAAAAATATGCCCGGCCACGGTGGGATTCGAACCTACGACCTTTGGAATACTGGCCCAATGCTCTTCCAACTGAGCTACGCGGTCAGGACGGTTCGAGTAAGTGATATTTCGGAACAGTATCTAGTTCCTTCAATACCAATATTTTCTAGTAATATGAATTTTTTTTTCTCTGTGTTGGTGTTGTGTACTCAGGTGAATAATATGTTTGCGATGTTACTCTGAGTGCATATCCACACCGGGCGAGCTTGAAAAATATGGCCGGCCACGGTGGGATTCGAACCTACGACCTTTGGAATACT